TTGATGTACAGTAGATTTGGAGCTCTTGGATAAAAATGTGTCCAGCAGCCAGCACTCTGCAGCTCTCACATTGTTGCTTACTGAAGGGAAGCAAGGTTGATGCTGCAGTCACACTAGAGTTTGAGTTTGCGAAATTTAATCGTACGGCGCTGCAAAAATGGGCGAGATTAAACGAGATGATTAGACATTCAAAAAAATGAGCAATTGCTCCATATTTACATTTCTGTCCAGAGCGGTCATGTTTTGATCCTCAATTGGTCTCACGCAGTCAAGTGAGGTGATTTCACAGGTAAGAGTTCACCAAGCTTGAACCTTGCAACGCAGTGAACTGCGAAACTTGACTCATGAACTTGCGTTTCCTGTCTGACACATTTGCGTGTGTATAAATGGAAGTCTGGGGAGAAGTCCAGTGTGACAGCAGCTTTAGTCTGGTACCTGGATGGGAGACTAAATAGGAAAAATGCTGGAAGAAGTGCTAGTGAGGGGAAGCTCATGATGTCTATGTGGGTTCTGATGCTCCAGTATAGGGATGGGGACATTATACTGTCAGTGAGCAGCCTCCTTTTTATAAAGTTAAACCAGTGTTCTTTGAAAAGTGTAGGGGATGGACCATTTTGCCCACTAGCCTCCTAATCATCACCATATCTACAAATTGGCTTCATCTCTCTGCCTCCTTTCCACCAATGAACTGGGGCCTTATTTATAAAATATTAAAGCGTAGAAAAAAAATTCACAAAAGCGCAATTCAGAGAAAAGTGTGCACAAAAATCTATTCGTCTGCCTGTCTTCCACATGTGACATTTTATAAATGGCAAATGATCTTGACATTGTGTGCAGTTGACTGCTGTCAGATGTCCGCCTTGTAAATGCTGTCTAATTAATATGATTACTATATAAACTAGCTTGTGCCAATATATCTAATTATTTATGGTTGAGAATGATAAGCACAAAGAGGAAAATAAAAACTTTCAGAGTCTGCGGTGCACAGAGACCATTTTGGGGGGCCTCAAGATATGTGATCTTGTAAAAAGTAATAATTTGCTGTGATCACTAATAAAAAAGTGTAGTCTCGCACATTTTTTTTGCAAAACTTACAAAAAATAAATGAATTAAAAGAAAATGTGACCGTTTCATTTAATAAATTATTAGATGATTATGGTCACTTGTCTAAAAGATCGTTTCATTATGTTAACAGTTTACTATACATATTATTATTATTATTATTATTATTATTATTATTATTATATAGATGTAAATGACAAAAGCAAAGTGTAATGCTGATGTCTCTTCATTTTTACAAGCAGAAGCTTTTTATTTATTTTGGATACATTTTTTTTCTATATTGATTGATTGTAGATATTATGCATTAGTAAATTATAATATCACAAATTATCTAGCAAAATAAAATGCAACACCATGCAATAAACTGTGCTGCCTACAGAATATGAATAAAGCACTTAACATTTAAGCTTGTAAAAGGTCATTTTAATCTTGCAAAAAAATAAAAATAATAATAATAATCTGACTGCACTGTAAAATGGATCTCAAATGCTGCATTTGGTGCTTGTACACTACTATAATTAGATGTTCAGACAACTTTGCCACAAGAAAAAGTGTGCAAGTCTGCTCGGACCTTGACGTGGTAGTATTTTCACATTAAAGATTAATTCGTATATGAACATTGCCGTGGATTTAATTTATGCATACTTTATAAATGAGGCCCCTGATGTGTTGTCTGCATCCTGACAAATAATTGTTCTTGTGCTTTGGGAGATTCCCCCTTTCAAATCTGTATTGCTTGAAGTACTGAAAAAAAGCTAATTATTATTATTATTATTAGTAGTAGTAGTAGTGGTGGTAGTAGTAGTATTAAAAATGGCTTTATATGCATTAGTATTATACTCTGAAAGTGGATAGATAGCTGTAATATTGAGTTCATTATTAATGCAAGTCAGGGACATTAGGGGTGTGTGTGTGTGTGTTCTAGACGAGACCCTTTTAAAAATACAGCAATTTCACCCATTTCTATCTAGGAATTTTAAACATCCTGGGCCTGCCAGTGACCCAGTGCCCCCTGGGGTTGAGTAAGGAGCGACTGCCCTTGGGTGTGCAGGTGGTGGCTGGGTTGTGTCAAGACCATCTGACCTTAGCTATGGCGCTCTACCTGGAGAAGGCTTTTGGAGGCTGGGTCGATCCAGGAGTGGTTTAATCACTGAAGGAAATGCAAGTTAAAAATGGACAACCTCAACACCCTGTATTTCGTCCACATGAAGTAAAGCGATTTGTTTAGTAAAAAAAATCTGAATTCTGTCATGACTATTCATTATATTTCCTGCAGTTACAAACCTGTATGACTGACTTGTATTGGGTAAGACTTTTTTTTTAAAGTAGGTGCTAATTTGTTCTCGCCAGAAGGTAGTCCTAAAACTTTAAAGGGTCACGAATCACCGAAACACGTTTTCTGAGATGTTGACAGTCATATACATGCGACACGCTGCTAAAAACACTAGTATGCCCCATTCACATGGGGCTTCAGCATCAACAGCTGAGGGCCTAAGTTGGGGCTGACGTTATTGTCATAGCAGCATCAACTAATGAAATTAGTCAGCAATCGGCTACCGTCTGAGCTGGTGTATTTGCATACAGCGATCTGATTGGCTGACACTTCAATCTGTGCTTAAAGTTGAGAAAGTCACAAATTCTGCAGCGAGCAATGCCACGGAAGCGGCACAGATAGATCCACAATGCAGTTCGGCAACATCTGACGTCACCCATTCGAAGTGAATGGGAAGTGTTGAAGCTGACGCCTTGTCTGAATGGGCCGTTAGGGGACACATATTTCACTAATAAATGAAAATTGCTTGTTGTTGCATTGTTTCAAGCAAATTTGTTCTTCCAGTTAAAAAAGAAATGTTGAAGCTACGTCATGGTGATGAGGTCATTGTGTGAATGCCAGCATGGAGATTGGCTGTCTGTACCGGCTGGTCCAAAGTGATGTCATTGAGTTTTTAGCATTAATTCAAATGAGAGAATTTGTTCGAACCAATCAGCACGCTCTATTGTAAAAGAGATACTACTTCATTAATATGCATGATATAGCTTCAAAGACTGTTTTTACCTGTTACAGTGTTCAAAGAGACGCCACGTTGTGTTGCCAACCATAATTCAAACTAGAAGAAGAATTGTTCAGAGACATGGGTCGCCAGTGTTGCGTTCATAAATGTGCTGCAACGACGGTTTAGTTTTTATTTCCCTGCAATTGAGAGCACAGCTCGCATGTGGATTCAAGCAGTTGGATTACAGTGGTCTGCTAAAATGCAACAATTTTTTTTTGTTGTCAGAAACATTTTCTCACCCAAGAGCTTTTTGCGTCTGGAAATGATGAAAACCGGATTTACCACTCGTTTTTTAAGAAAAAAAGATTTGGTTTCAGTTGGTGTTGATTGTCCTGTCTCTACGAATTTGATAAGTGTGTGATCACTGTCCTTTGTTTATGTTTATTCAGATTGCAAAGTTAGTATCATCAGCACTATTAAATTACTAAGTTTACAGTAATATGACTACAATATTATGGACTGAATATCCTCCACTTCCACAGCTCTCCAAATCACCATCTATCTCCCCTGTGCTTGTGTTGCCGCTGTATAAATCAGCTGTAGTGCACGTAATGAAACTCCCCTTTTCATGCAAACCCTTCCCTCTTTCGCCACTCGCGCCTAAATGAAGTTGTACTTACCTACTTTTTTTTTTTTTACTTTTTTCAATCTAGAGGTGTGAAAACGCCCTGCTGAGAAGCAAAAAAAAAAAAAAAAAGAAGCAGGTACTGCCTACAATTATAGAAATTATATAAAACATTCCTTTGTTACAAAAGCACTTTTCTTGTGCAGAACACAAAAGATTGTTTGAAGAATTCTGGTAACCAACAGATTTTTATAAGTACATCTAAACGTTTCTCTAAACATCTTTTCTGTTCCACAGAAAATCAGGTATTCATAAACTGCAATTTTTGGGTAAACTATTCAATTAAAATGAACTATTGGATAGAAAAACTCAATAACAAATTATTTCAGCTGCATTAAAATAAAATATCAACAAGGACAAATAAAAAGGATACTGTGTAACAGCTGTGCCGAATGTTGTTTTAAAGTAGGGCTGTGCGTTTAATCAAAATCGAATCGCAGTTTGAAAATTGTGATTAGTTAAAATCACAAGAGGCTGCAACATAAAATATACATTTAAATATGTAAACAAAAATAACGAATAACATCTGAGGTGAAGTGCTTCAAAACCAGTCTGCTATGCTACAGAAAATTACATTTAAACTAGATTTCCTGTGATGGTGTCGCAGACATGGTATCAGTTGTCGTGAACTAAGCCATTACACAAGAAGAAACGATTGAACCTTGTCACGATGTCTATTTGTTGTTTACGACTCTCCACGTCAAAGAAATTTTGCTGAAATCGTGTGATCTGACCGGGACTTTATAACTAGCCAAATAAACGAGCACACATTCGTTCTGGCCAATCAGAATTGCGCAAATGAACTACACCCACAAAAAAAAAAAAAAAAAAAAAAAAAAAAAAAAACGTACAGGAAAGCGCTGAAAAGTGGGATAATGGCATCTGCTGCTTCAAGAAGCATTAATAGACAAATTAATATCAAAGAAAAACAGCATTGTGAAACTTTGATTTCAAACATAAACAGATCATTTTGAAGAGCTGTTGCAGAATTGTTGTCACGGCTTACAGATCATCAAGCAGAAGCTTGAATTAAATTATAAATCAAATCGCAATCACAATATCTGTCAAAAATATTGCAATTAGATATTGTTCCCAAATCACACAGCCCTATTTTGAAGTTATTCCCGCATTGAAAATGATCATTAAAATGGTTGTTCAATGAATTAACCAGTAATATGTGAACTAAGTCTTAAGCAAATGACTTATTCAAATCAGGATGTTTTCATTTTTTCTCTCTTTTAAAAAAAAAATGTTTACATAACTTTGTTTTACACTGTTTATTGTTTTCATTTTTTTTTTCTTCCCTTCTGAGGAGGAACTTGAAAACATTTTTAAACATTCTGATTTTGAAAACACAGGAACAGATTCTCGTTTCATTCGTGGGACACCGTAATAGCATGTTTGTACCCTTTTAAGATCTCTTAATAACGTGTCAATCAATAGTAGGTTAAGACAAACTAACAAGCCCCACCTCATGAAATCTGAAATGGGCCTAAAAAGAAGAAACGATACAAACATTAACAAAAAGATAAAGAAAACATCTGTCTTACAAGAGGGTCCCTGTCTTTGGCAACGCAGGAACAGAGATAGGACATGAGGTCAACCAAACAGGAAGTCTTTTTTCCCAACTGTCTGAAACCCAACATCCAGAGATTCACTAGCGCATATTCCCAATACCTCAGAATTTGGCCCATAAATATGTACATTCCAGCGCATGTACATGATTGTGTTTATCAGCACTTCCTCAGGTGATGTTGAAGAGGGGTGTGAATGCATACATATGCATCCATGTAATTGCGCTGAGCGAGTGTGTGTGTATGTGTACTGGTTAACCCAGACTTCCTCAGGAGACGTTGGTAATGGGTTTGTATTTCTTGAGGCGGGTCCATTGCCCAGTAGAGTAGTTCATCTCAAACACTGTGTCCACCAGCATGGTCGTGCTGCCGGTCCCGTCCGCTTTAGGCAGAACTTCTGTGTGCTCGCTCAGCTTGATCTGAATGATGTCACCCTGCTCTGGACAGGGGTTTTCTGTAGAGACGATGAGAAATATGACAATTAAAAAAAGAGGAACCATAGGGTTGTCAACTCATTCACAAAACTGGACGAAATCACAACCAAAATACCTCGTGATCCAGCCATGAAGCCCAGAATGAGGGCTTTTTCGGGCCGTGTGACTTTGTTTGCAGTCTTGAACATTTCTTGTGCAGCATACATCTGTTCCCTCTGTGGGCAAAACAATGCAGCATAAGAGTTTACAGATTGTCACCATACACTACCATTCAAATGATTTGAGGGAAATAAAGTTCATTTTTAAAGAAGTTAAAACATTCATGCTTCTATTAAACTGCACATTGTGGTAACACATTAAAATGACACTTGAATGACCATGTGACAATGAATACCAAGTAGTGGCTCCTGAAATGTAAACAGTCAACACGAGACATCACTCTTTTTTTTTTAAATGTTTGGCTAAATAAATGCAGCCATGGTGACCATAAACAATGTATATTAAACATTACAATAAATATTTAAATCTTTAGGTATTATAGACCTTTTTCTCTTGCTACATGGAACATGCGCCATATCAACCAGCATCTTCCAGTAGGGTGCTTAGAATTTCCTTTTACAGCGTTTACAATTGGAAAATCTTGATCCAAAAATGATTGTCAATACCGTTTTGAGTGGCTTACGGAGTGTTTTTGTGATTCAGAACTTCGATTTTGGCCTGTTTAAGCCATTATGGTGCTGTCAGTTGCGGTGCATTATAGAGCAAAACATATTACTGGCATGAAATGCAACAGGTAGGTAACCTTCAGCTAAGCAATTTCCAAAAAATAAAAGTACATGACTGATACTCTGCTGGCTGATTTGCATGTTGATTATAATCGGGAGCTGTTTATGTTTCATTTTGGTAGTTTGTGTAGTGTAATATTTACCATGGTATGTTTTTCTGTCATTTCAAACATCACTTTGTTTTAACTTTGTGCCACTTGTTAAATCAATGTGTTAGTGCAGGGGTGTCAAACTCAATTCCTGGAGGGCCAAAGCCCTGCACATTTTAGTTCCAACCCTGCTCCAACACGCTTACCTGTAGGTTTCAAACAAGCCTGAAGGACTCAATTAGTTTGATCAGGTGTGTTTAATTAGGGTTGAAACTAAACTGTGCAGAGCTGTGGCCCTTTTGGGACTGAGTTTGACACCTGTGTGTTAGTGGAACAGAACAAAGTGTGTGTCAAACATTTTAGTGAACTGCGTTTGTTTGGCTTGGTTATACATTTGAAAAGAGAAAATGTTTACTTTAGCAATGACGATGCTCTTTTAAATGCTCAAGATGCCGCCTGACGGAAATGGTAAACGACTCACAAAATGTTGTTTTTCCATCCCATTAGATCGCATTTTTCAGTCCAGGAGGCAGTATTTTTTTGTCAACAGCAGTATTAGTTCAAAGATGCTAAAAGCAAGTAAAATGGATTAAAACTATAATTTTTAAGCTGTCTGAATGTGACCGTTTATACGCATCAAGCTGCCGACTGGAAGTTATTAGCATCCTCCTTACGCATACATGCAAAGCATAATGGGTAATTTTGCGTTTTAAGAAAAAGGTTTATAATTGATAGAATTTATACTATTTTACTCATTTAAAAACAAACAAAAAAAAACCCTATCTGGTATGATCAAAAGCAGGACAGTCCAGTAAAGCATTATCATCATATAACTGAAATCAGTTACCGTGAGCGAGAGGTTCTTTTTGGGTTGTGTCTGTGGGGGTGCTGGCGTGGGTGCAGGCTGAGCTGCAGTGGTGGGCGGCTGTGTGGGCATGTCCGGCTGTGCTGCTGTGGCGGCAGGGGGCGGGCCATTGTTTGTGGGCGTGCTGGTTGGCGTGGTGGGTGAAGTGGGCGCGGTGGGACTGGCAGTGCTGGCATTATACATAGGCGGCCGCTGTTTGAACTGGCCAGGTAGTGAAGCGGCAGCGGCACTTGGGGCAGCCGACTCCTCCGACTGTCGGTTTGTAGTTTCACGTCCTGAACCACCTGCGTTCGCTGGTTATTCCAAAGCAAAGACAGAAAAAAGATTGTTAATGAGACTGTAAACTGGCTTTTTATTAAAGAATTGAAATTAAAAAATATTTTTTTACATGTTAGTATAAGTATTGTTAGTTTTAAGGATATCTATAAGCTAGTGTTCTCCAGTGACAAAATTTGCGGTTAGAAGATAAACAGATTGTAGTTTATCACTTCCTTCTAAATAGATGAACAGTTTTTTTTCACATGACCTCATACTTCAGTTTCTCATCAAATAGTGACCAATCAAATGCTCTCTAGTATCTGACATGCCCTCGACCCCTTCAAGACGCTTCATGTTTAATGCACTTGGGCTCAAGTACTCTCACTGGCAGAGCTGTGACAAACTATTGGCTGTTTTATAAAAAGGAGAGGGGTTACATTATGTCCTACCCTCTCATTATATTTCGGTTGAGATTGTCAAACATCTATGACCTTAAACATCTGATTAGCTGTTGTATCTAACTGTACTGTTTAAATTTATTCTTGCAACCCTCACACCTGCATCTCTCAGTGGCTCACCTGGCTGCGTCTCTGAGCTGGGAATATAAGACGATGAAGGAACCATGCTGGGAGTGGCGGGAAGGTAACTGGTTGATGGCAGGGCACTCTCATTGTTTAGCGCCCCAAGTTTCTGTTGAAATGAGGTGAAATTAGAGTTCTGGTCTGATCAGCTTTCAAAGTGTCACTCTTATGGCTGATTTCAAAAGCTACCTGTGTGGAAACCAGGCCAGCTGCGTAGTCTGGTGTGGCGTTTTCCACCACCGCCTCTTCTTTGGCTGCCTTTTCTCCAGCTTCTGTGTCTGAAGAACACACATAAATTATATTCACAAAAACACAATTAATTAGTAGTGATATAGAGTAAAAATTCCACCAAAACATTTTTTGAGTATTTATAAGCAAACAATACTGTATAATCCTGAACCATGGGTTAATGTCACTATTTGCATATTTGCAGTGTCGGCATCACTGACTGGACAAATGTAACACACAACCGGTTTACACATTATACATTTTTGACAATGCCTGATTGTTTTTGATATAATATCCAAAGCTTGTAAATTAAGCTTGTAAACAAACGTGGTGTTTTAAAAGCACCATTGAGAATGATGATAAGCTGATGTTAAACAGTGCGAAAAGATCTCATGTCATTAAATCTTCTTGAACTTACCCAGAGTCTTTCTTCTCCTCTTAGCTTCTCTACCAGCTCCTACCATATCCAACTCTGATATATCCAACAACTGCAGAAAGAAGAATACAATCACATGAGCTAACAGTATAAAGCATATAAAAACATACCATCCCTACTCAGAAACCAAATTCAGTTTGTAAAACCAAATGTCACACACAAAGTTTGCTTTTAAGCATTTAATAGAGAGTAAAAGCTACTGAGATTTATTAACGTTGTTCAGTGACTTTATAAAAGGTGATTGGAGGACAGTTACCTTGACACCTCTCTCCTTACGTAGGGGTGTGCGGGCAGGGGCGATGGGGGTTCTGTTACTGGGAGGGCTGAACATGCTTGGGGTGGTGGGGCTGCGGAATGGTGCTTTGGGAATTCCCTTCAGCGGCGCTGAAAGAAGTAATGAAATTCATTTTTACTATTACGTATTAAGATAAAAGGTTTGGGTAATAAGATATTTTTTCTGTTAGAAACTCAGAAAGGCTAAATTTACAGTAAGTTAGTTACAATCAGAGTTGGGAGTAACTGTTACTGTATTCTAATTATATTTGAGGAACGCAGTGATGTAACGAATTACATTTTAAATTTGTGTAATGATTACAGTTACTAAAGTCAATGTAATTGCGTTACAAATAGAATTTTTAGAAGGAAAAAAGTGCTTCTTTTAAATCACACTTTCTGCTGCAACATCAGTTAATAAGCATGTGCTTTTAAATTGCTGTCAAGAGTAGTTGCTTTAAGTGGAAATATAGACATTTTTTTATTTTATTGAGTGTAAAAACAAATATATTGCTGTGAAATAGTCTAAATTCAGTCTCTTTTGACTGCTTTTAACTCCACCAGCAACTTGTTCAAGTACCTGAATAGATTATATTGCATTCTTTGACAATACTCGCCCAAAAACTCGGCGGCCCAACTCAGTCTAAACAGGCTAAATTAGATTTTTGTGCAGGATCGGGAATAAAGGTATCTTCTGAATGTGAAGTGAAGCGTAGCTGCTTATCGGGTTGTTCACATATCACGTCTTTTGCCAGTTAAAAACAGCAAGTCACGTGACAAGAACTGAACGGTCAGCTTCATATTTTGTATGGAACATACACATTTCAGTAGACTAATTCCCTCAGACAATCACAACAGCTAAAACACTGCAGTGCTTTTTCATACTACGGATGTCAACGGTTACAGGTATCCAGTTTTCTTCTAAATGTCTTTTGTGTTAAAAAAAAGAGGCATACAGGAGTGGAACAAGTGAATGATGAGAGAATTTTAAGTTTTGGGTGAACTCTAAGTCTTTTGAATATGTCAAGCAGCTGTGATCAACGCATTGCAATGTTTTTCAGTGATTATTAAATGAATGTTTTATTAAATGACTATTAAAAAACTTTATTTTGTATTTTTATAGGTATATTTTATGTTTTAAAAGTAACTTCATAGTAAAGTAATTAGTAATCTGATTACTTTTTACATTAAGTATTTAGTAATGTAATCAGATTACAATCTTTCAGTAGTAGACAGTCATTTGTAATCGATTACTTTTTTTAAAGTAACTTACCCAACACTGGTTACAATACTACAGTAATTTGTACTCTGAAATGAAGTATTTAATAATACTTACATTTTCAGAAACACTGTAGAGCAACAATATTGTGAAATATTCTAAGAAATGTATTCTGTTTATAATATAATTATTTATAAAAAAAAAAGTCTTTCTCAAACACGCGCAGACACACATGCTCTGGTGCGCAATCTTGAAAACAGATGTGGATTCCATTTTTTCATGATTCTTTGGATAATAATTTTTAAAAAATAAAGTAAAATAATACATAATCATAATAATCATAACATATGTTTAATAATATAATTATAGAATCAAAAATAATATAATTATTTTTAAATGCTGGAATTCACATTAGGAATAGCAAATGCAAAACAAAAACTTGTCATTGTAAATTTATGCAAACTAATGTACTATTCATATTTAATAAATGAAACCTTATCATAAAGTGTTATATTTTATCTATCTATCTATCTATCTATCTATCTATCTATCTATCTATCTATCTATCTATCTATCTATCTATCTATCTATCTATCTATCTATATATATATATATATATATATATATATATATATATATATAAATGAGTTATTATTTAATCCCATCTAATCTTATATGATATAATGTTATTATTAAACTAATTAAAATGAAACATTATTTCCACCCAAACACTGTGTGAACAGAACTCATACTTGTGGTGTCGATCTTCTTCACTAGTCCTCTTCCTTTGGAGTGGAAGGGCACTCCTGCGGTTTTCTTTAACTGTTGGGCGGTCTCTGTGGCTTTAGAGCAAATATCATAAGTATTAAACAATGACCATGGCAATCATCAAAGAAACATCAGGGTAAACTCTTTTATTAAATGACCACAATACATCCATACAGAAAAAAAGAAAACAGAGAGGGTCACCCATTTTTACAGGCACAAACACTTACATTTTTGCAGCAGCTCGGCTCGGAGTGTGGCGCTCTTGGGTTTCCTCTTGAGCTGGAAGTGTTTGATGGGTGGAGTGAGCGGCCCCACCAGCGTGGTCAAAGCACTCTTGTTCAGATACTGACACTCCAGAGGCAACATGGTTGACGCTTCACATTCATTTACTGTGTAGAAATACAACATGTTACAAAAGTACTACATTTTAGTAGGTCTTTTCACTAATAAATTAAAAAAGGTGTTCTAATAAAAAGGATGAATACTAAATGTAATGATGTATTATATAAGCATATTTCTAATTTGAAGGTGCTCTATGTGAGTTTTTGACTCTTCAATCGTAAAAAAGCATATGTTTGCAGATATACAAGAAACATACATGCAAGTACACATAATTGTTTATCTGACTAAAAAGGCTAAAGTCAGTTATTCTCCGAAAAATGTGTGTTCCTTGTCGAAATGTCTGTCTTTGTTTTGGTCTGAGTAACTCCACCCACTGCCAGAATGAAATGAAACTTGCCTCAATGTATGCAGGACAGTAGCAGCCTCCAAAATGAGACACAGATTCAGAGTTATAAAAATCCACATGAGGTGGTTTTTAACTAGCAACTAATATAATATGCTACAAATGTAAACATCAGCAGAGCAGCTTTCAGTGTGAGGATATGTGTGTCATCAATCTGGCAGCATAAACCACGGCGAATGAAGTTCTGCACAAGACTTTTGGCCAGCGGAGAAATTAAAATGGTCGTGCCCTACTGAGTCTGGTTCTCTCAAGGTTTTTTTTTTCTTCACTCCCATCAGGTGAAGTTTTTTTTCCCTCTCCGCTGTCGCCACTGCCTCACATGGTTCAGGATTGGTAGAGCTACGCATCGATGAATTTGCTCTTCAGTGTTTGAACTCTCAGTAATGATTAAATCACACTGAACTGAGCTAAACTGAACTGAACTGAACTTAAACACTAAAACCTGAACCACACTGTTCCAGTTACTGAACCAAACTGTTCCAGTTACTATGACCATTTATGTGAAGCTGCTATGACACAATCTACATTGTAAAAGCGCTATACAAATAAAGCTGAATTGAATTGAACCTGCACGTGCATCGAGTCGTTGAAAAATAAATACCCTCGCCAAATTTAGAATATGAACTGCAATCCTACATACTGCAATTTTTTTAAACATCACTTTTATAAATGTTAACATTAGAATTATGTTATAAATGTATTTAATATTGCTCTTTGCAACCATTTATGGACACAAAACATATTTTTAGATTTTTAGTCTGAGGCAGTAATACAAATATCAAAACTCACTAACAAAGACATCTTTCTGACATCAAACTGAGCAAAATACACAGCCCTAATATCTAGTCAAAGAAGTCAAGGATGGGGAAATATGTGGGCTGTAGACTGTTTTGACCCTCTCCTAATACTGCAATGGGCTATATGTCCACAGACTTTTACTTTTCAGCCAGGCAGCCCAATGACTTCCACTGAACTGTCTTTCCATTACAAAACTGTCATGTTTAAGATCTAATTTCTTTAAAAGTCTGTGATCTTCACTAGCTGCTAAATATACGATATGAAATTGGTCTCTAATCGGACAAGTAGTACTGCATTTAAATTCCATTTCCCCCCACCATGTCTTTAAAATATGAGTCAATCTTACCCCAGTATTTTCAATGGAATTTCTGCGCTGGCCTTTTGCTACTTCTGGCACAAGTGATTACAACAGTCATGTCATTTCACGCTTGAACGACTACATGAATGCTTTAGTCTATTTAACTGAATGTATTGTAATTACATCACAACATTGATGCTGTAAAAACAACCTTGTGAAATTGAAAATAGTCACATTAAGCTTTCACCGGAAGTTTATCATTGGCTTTAAAACCCTGGCTGTGCATAGAGCCCATTACTGATGTCAGACTGACCTTTCTCACGCAGTTCTCCAAGGATGTCCTGTACATTAGGGTTCTGCTCCTCCAGGTCCAGGTTTAGTGAGCCGGTCTCTGGGAATGATTTCAGGATGTCAGCCACCATTAACACCCAGGGCTCAGAGTCCACTGTGGCCAACTGAATGATCTCTGACAGAGCCTCCTTCATCTGAATTATTAGGGAAGAATCAAGAAAATCAGAGACTTAATCTAGCCAGACTGTTCAATGAATCTGCCACTAGTGCACTGACCTCTCTAACAGAAAACACTGCTATGGAAAAACGAGGCCACTTCCTCAGCTAATCTCAGGATGTGTTAGGTCTGGGTAAAAAGTTAATATTTGCTTTTTTCTATTAAAACCTGAAACATTTCTTCAGGAAAAAAGAGCATTCAGACAATTGTTTTTATTTGTTATGATTCAAAGTTATCACAACAAAGTTATGATTTCTCAACTTATCTTAAGTTAAAACATTGGTGATGTGTTGTCTAAAAACAAATAGAAACATGTAAATTATTATTATATGCTAAACATCTAACTGCAAAAAGAAACAAAGCTTAAAACGACCAATTAATTTTAAATTTAGAGGAAATGTCATCAGTAATAATATAGTAAATTTATTTAACACACTTCCCTCCAACACAAAGCTATAGATCCAGAAAACTCATTTCTCAAAACATTATTTAATTTAACTTTGTTTTTACATTATAGAAACTGCAGATTTTCTTTCCTGAGGCCATAAGCAATTGACAGGAATTCAGGCTAATTTAGTGAAACAATGAATATCTTACACTGTTTAAAAATACATAAATAAAGAAGATCAATAAACAAAAATGTCCAGGCAGAAAATGAACAGTACATTTTCAGATGGGGCTGCGTGATTAATCGAAATCAATTTGAAACGTTGCGACTAAATCGCAAGAGGCTGCAATATGAAATATATTTGTATTATTTAATTTCTCCTGCCCCGGGCTTATGCATGACTGCTGTCTGTGTGTGATAGTCTTACCAGCCAATTGAGAGAGCATAATTTGAGTGATGAGTGTCTTGCTGAAAAAAATCAGCTGAAAGTATTGCCAGTGACACTCAATCTAGTAGCAAGCAACAATTTCAGAGTTGTTTTTAGCCATGTTAACTTGCCAAGTGTTCTGTATAGGTGTATACATTCCTCCCTAATTTAAGTTTAACTTGTTTACAGAAAGGTAAGGTCATTTGTGTTTACTGTTTGCTCTAGGAAAAAAAATGACGGTTTCACTTCTGAATAGTTAAAAATACACTTGAATGAATGTTTAAGTTAATATCTTTTCAATAAAAAAATAAAAAATAAAGAGTAGTTGGATATTTTCCCCAAATCGCATGCACACACATTATCTATTTATTATTAGAATATTTTTATTTTTACAGAAATTGGTTGGCAATTTTCTTCCATATGTCAGGGCATTTTTTATAGTAAGTTATGCTACACTATTAAACACAAGACAATTGCATTTTTAATCACTCCATGTATGATTTTTTTAAAAACTTACGGTGGCACAGCAGGTAGCACAATTGCATCACAGTAAAAAGTTCACTGGTTTGAGGCTCGGCTGAGTCAGTCAGCATTTCTGTGTGGAGTTTGCATGTTCTCCCCATGTTTGCGTGAGTTTCCTCCGGGTGCCTCGGTTCCCCCACAGTCCAAAGACATGTGGTATGGGTGAATTGTTAGTTAAATTGTCCTTAGTGTATGCGTGTGATTGTATGTTTCCCAGTACTGGGTTGCAGCTGGAAGGGCATCCACTGCGTAAAACATGCTGTATAAGTTGCCATTTCATTCCGCTGTGACGAGGCTAGATTAATTAAGGCAACAAAAAAAAATTAATGAATGTACTTTGTATATTTCAAACAGCACAATGCAAGTACTATAATCCTTATTTTGTTAAAACCCCTTAAATTTGATTGAACATGGTTTTAACTCTACATAAATGTGTTTCGAGTGTGCACAGACGCTTTCTCATACTCAAAACAAGATTTTTGTCGTCTAAATACGTTTGTCATGCAGTTTACTACGCTGCCACAGTGTTACAGTACTACCACTGACTGTTATGACTGTAGTGTTTAGGCGGAAACTAGTTACTGGAGTACATTTGAAAAGGGGGCGTTTTACTCGTCCAAACAAATGACCAAACTCCATCAGAATAACATTAACTTAAAACAACACTGCCAAAGTTGACTGCACGTTTACATGCATGAAGCTATTAAGTTATGGCAGACCCGGGGACAGACAGCAGCCCGAGCAGAGCTCTGCTGGAGACTGACATGAGAAGACAGCAGCTGCAGGAGACTCATGGTGGAAGCCATGTTATTATTACACATGCAACACAGACGAGCCAGCAGCACACAACTACTAATAAACAACATGCCAACCCGATACAGCGAGCGACAGTCGGAAGTAAAGTCAGAGTGTGAGTGAGCGTGTGTGTGTGTGTGTGTGTGTAGTTCTGCAGTCGCACCTCATCCACGGTCCTGCGCGGGAGGTGCAGCATCCCCAGCAAGAGTTTCAGCTTCACCGGTGGCGAAAGACTGGAAAAACACAGCCGAATATTATCGATGACCGACACGGTGAGAAGGGAAGCGATGCTCGAAGGAGTCCACAGCTCGTCCGTCGATCCGAGTTTGTTGTGGAGCCACAGGCCGGTGTCGCTCTCCCTCATCGACGCCATCTTGGAAAAAGGCGAATAATGAGATCGGGCATTTTAACAGGCTACCTAAGAAAACAGACACACGCGCGCTAGGACCCGTGTGATCGCGAGCAGAGCTCGGAAAACTTTTGCAAACATTAAATGAGTGAGATGCACGTAACAGGTTTTGTATTGCATATCTTCGTTTTGTTTCTGATTTCACGTGTTATGTTTTGGCGTTGTAATGTTTAACTAACGTTAATGTATAATAAAACTACTTATTTTGGCAAACATTTTGTTTACATCTGTTTTATTATCATTATTAATAATACATGGCTTCTGCAGGTTTCACCAAGTTAAATTTAAGACTTTTAAGAGATTTGTAAGACTATTATAAATTAAATTTTAGCCTTATACAAGGATAAATGCTAAGGATTTTAATTGAATATCCCTGTTGTAAAAGATTTTCACTTGCCCTATCAAAAATTATTCATTATAATTTAATAAAATTAATAATAAAGTAATAATTTAATATAAAAATGTAGGCCAGGTCAGTATCTGAATAAATGGAGAACTTTTAAACAAATGTTACTGTAAGGAAAGTAATTAGATGCTATTTTTTAAATGAAAAGTTAAATGATTGGAATTGTTGGTGATAGTATGGGTGTTGATGTCCAGATTGGGTAGCTAAACATGAACAAGGAACAAAAATGAATGATAAAAAAGTCAGACCTACAACTACAACACAATATTTCAGTAAATTTTTAAGGTCTAAAATGTAGCTAGATTTAAAGATTTAAAAAGATTAAGACTCTGTGGATACCCTTTACATAAAACATTAAGCCACAAAACAAACAGCGTAATTTTTGCCCAAGTGTCGTTTTTTTATATATTAAGGTCAATTCATAAAGCACCGATACATGCTAACAGACGTGAACCGTCATGACATGTCACTTCTTAGAATCTACAACCCAACAAGCAACCAATTCAGCATTTTAAATCAGAGAAAAACAAGACTGGTCAGAAACAACAGCCTGTCCAGGCCAGTTTCCTCAGCAGTAAACACATGGGGAACTTTTAAACAAATATTATTATGAGGAAAATAATTAAACCATTATGGTAAATAGAGTTAAAAATGAAATAAAAAAATTAAATATGTAAATGAGATAGATTGTTGATGATTGTATGGGTGTTAATAGCCAGATTGGGTAGCTATACATGAACAAAGGAAAATTAAGACATGTAAAAAATTTACATGATTAAAGATTTAAGACCTACCACAAAATATTTCAGTAGATTTAAGACTTTTTAAGACCTTAAATTTAGCTTTTGAGATTTAAGACATTTTTAGAGTTTTTGAGACCCAGCAGATACCATGTAATAATAACAACAATCAATGCTAATTTTATTATGTGAATAAATGCGGAACATTTGTGTTTTGATATTCTCACTTTGCTTATTAAATTATGTTTCCGACAGTATGTTACACATCTATCTATCTATCTATCTATCTATCTATCTATCTATCTATCTATCTATCTATCTATCTATCTATCTATCTATCTATCTTAGTATTAACATTGTAATGCACCTTCGTTCCGGTGCATATAGTAAACATTATGTGATTATGTATACAAACAGGCTAATGCAACAATCATAAAAATAGGGAAAACAAATATAACAGCTTTGAAATAAACATATATACAGTGCTCAGCATTTATAAGTACACCCCTTATAAAATTCATTTAAGTCTTTAAAATTCATATTTTCTATAGGAAGCTATAAAATATTATATTTGTTTGTATGCATTAGATTAGTCAGCACTGAAGCCAAATCTGGAGCTTATCTAACAAAACAACTTGCAATAACGGTCCAAAAACTAGTACAGCCAAATTTATAAGTTATAGAAAACATTAAATACAAATTTTAAAAAGAGAAAAAAAAAACCAGAGAAGTAACAAAATGGAAAAACTGAGTTTTTTGTAGGTTGCAAATGGTTTTGCAATATTTAGCTTGAATTTGATTGTATGATCTTTCAATATCTAAATATGTTTGGTGACTAAAATACTATTTCAATTAATTTATCTGTTTAATAATTATGTTTGGTTTAAATGCACAAAAATACATTGCCTATATTTACTGAGAAATTGATAAAAATATTAATTTTCAAAATGGGGTGTAACGTTATGCTGATCATTGTATACATTATGCACAACCTGGTAAATATATAACCATCTGGCGAACATACCATAACGTCCCCAATAATATCTGTGTAGCCTTAATTCATTCAACAAAATAAACAAACTTATTAAAACAAATGTTGATGTGAAATCTGTCTAAATCACATTATTAAAAAACAGAACATAGGTGCACTTTCAAAGCGAGGAAGGCTGAAATCCATGTGACCACCTGTAGCCAATGAGAGAGAGAAACGTCAACTGGGCTTCGAAAACATTTGGGACTCAATCCTACGGCGCACCGCGAAGGACAATAATCATAAAAACGCGATTGACGCTCCGCAACGAAACTGCGTCCTGTGAAGGAGGGCGGTGGTTTGACTAACGGTGCCAGTGTCTTCATCAGAAAACTACAGGTAATGCAAATTAGCTTGTTGTTCCACTTTAATTAGCATTAATAATGCACCTTACATTAGAGCTATTTGGTCGTATTTGAAACGGACCATATTTGTTAGCATTATCAAGACAAAGACAAAAATCGACAGGCTCTTTATTTACGTTTGTGCCAGACTGTCATTTTCAAAGCATTTCTCAGTTGTTATTCGCTTTTCTTAAAACGTCGTCTGAATGACTACATGTAATTATTAGCTCATTTGTGTGTGTGTGTGTGTTTTCTCGCTGTGGCAGGTTTATTGTGTGTGTGCGGCGACAGTATGAGGCCAAGCGGAGCTCTGGCGGCGGCGGCGGTGATGCTGATGCTGCTCGTGTGTTGCCAAGCCGAGGACTCAGGCTCGGTCATCCCGGCCGAGAGTAAGCCTCAGTCTGCTTTTTAGACGAGTGGGCAACAGACATGCATCATTTCATGTGTCATCATCGCATCGTATGCCCTGCGCTACGGTGTTTTCCTGGCTCTTGCTCAGCCTTGGTGATGAGGAAGCAATGCAGCCTTGTTGTACTGATTCTAGTTTGTAGTGTAGTCTGGTTTTAGCTTTGAGGGGGTGAATAATAGACTACTAAACAGTTTTTATGGTTTCTCTGTATTTGACATTAAAATAGGTTCATATTTTTTTACTTTGTAAAGTCTATCTCTCTCTATACAGTTGGAAGTCAGAATTATTAGCGCTCCTGAATTATTTTCCCAATGTCTGTTTAACGGAGAGAAGATTTCTTCGACACATTTCTGAACATAATAGTTTTATTGACTCATTGCTAATAACTGATTTACTTATTTTTTTCTATGATGAGAGTAAATAATATTTTACTTGATATTTTTCAAGACTTGTTTACTTCTATCCAGCTTAAAGTGATAATTAAAGGCTTTACTAGGTTAATTCCGGTTAATTAGGTTAACTAGGCAGGTTAGGGCATTTAGGCAAGTTATTGTATTATGATGGTTTGTTCTGAAGACTATCGACAAAAAATATAGCTTAAAGGGGCTAATAATTCTGTCCTTAAAATTTTATTTAAAAAATTAAAAAACTGCTTTAATCCTAGCCTAAATAAAACAAAAAAGACTTTCTCCAGAAAAAAAAAATATTATCAGACTTACCGTGAAAATGTCCTTGAACATCATTTGGGAAATATTTAAAAAAGAAAAAAAATTCAAAGGGGGCTAATAATTCTGACTTTAACTGTGTATCTGAAATTATGGAATATTTCATATTGACCAGTTGACATTTTCTGCAAATAAATAGTGTAAATGATAACAATCTTATTTAAATTTTTGTTTGCCATAAAATAAAGCCAAAAAAAAAAAAAAAAAAAAAACAGCATTTTATATAAAACTATAAAATGTCTATTAATAGCAAATTCAGAGAAACAATAGCATTTTTTATGTGGTCTCACTTGTTTTTGCTGTACTTGAGTTTTCACTTTTGGTTGTGAATTTTATATTTGAAATCTAAAACACATTTTACAAAATGTTCAAATTTAGGTTCACCATTAATTCAGTTTTTATTTTGATTGAATATATGTAATGCCTAAACATTTAGTTATTAAGTTTTTATTTAATAATTCATCTTGTATTTAGATGACAGCACAATAAGGTTACATTTGTTAGCTACACTAGTTAAAATGAATTAAACAATGAACAATACTTCTGAAGCACTTCTCAGTACTAAATACTACCAACATTAATTTACAACTAATTTATCTAGTGATGATATGCTGAAAGTCAATATGAAATCATCACCTGCTGCACAAATGTGTTTCAACAGGCCGGCCATGTGTTGACTGTCATGCCTTCGAGTTCATGCAGAGAGCCTTGCAAGACCTGAAGAAAACAGCCTTCAACTTAGACTCACGGGTAAGAGCAAAGAAAGGGACAAAACAGGCAAAAATAAATCAATACACAAAAAAAAAAGTAAAGTAGACTCGTCTTATATCTTTTATGCACAATAAGGAAAATGTTCTATTATATTTTGGAAGGACGTTATCTATTTATTTCACCGAATTTTCTCACTCACTTTCCCTCAGCTCAGTCCCTGATTTATCAGGGGTCGCCAGAGTGGAATGAACCACCAATTACTCTAGCTTTGTTTTAAGCGACGAATGCCCTTCCAAGCACAGGGATTCAAACAAGTGACCTTCTTGGTGTGAGACAACATTGCTAAGCACTAACCCATCCACAGAATGTTGTATTAACCATAAAACACAGCCAAATGTTGTGGAACCTTTAAAATACAGGTAGAACGTCTGTAAAATGTAACATGAATCACTGACACCTCATGCTGTGCTCTAGCACATTTTCTTTTTAGATTTTTGAAGAATAAGTGCTGTTATTACTTATCATACATTAAATAATATGTTTTATATAGTGGATATTTCAGTGTTTTGGAGAGACAGCAAAACATTTAGGGTGGTGCAGTGGGTAGCGCTGTCGCCTCAGCTGGGTCAGTTGGCATTTCTGCGTGGAGTTTGCAGGTGCTCCCCGTGTT